CGAGCGCCAGAAGTCTGAGTCCTTGTTTAGGTCCTGCCTCGTCTTAGGTTAACCCGGTAGGAAACGGAAGCCTAAACCGAACAGGCTGTTTCCTACCGATGGCTGTTTCCCACAGACGGCCGTTCGCCCGGCCGTTTCCTACGCCTACGCCTGGCGCACTCCCTTCGCAAATATCTTTACAAAATGATGCAAAGGAATCTTCGTCGTCGTGCTGCTTCCGGCTCAAGCGCAATTTCCAACAAGGAATCCACTTCCGCCCATCGTGCACAGGAATGGCGTCGCAATTGGATTTTTCTGAAACACGCCATCTGTCTCCAAACATGGTATCCTGATCCAAGACCAAAGGAAAGAATCCTGTTTTTCATGCGTGAAACCACGTCACCGAAAGCCCCGCCGCAGAATTGTTTTGCAGCTAAGTTGGAAAGCTTCGCCGCTGTTGCTGACAAAGTAGAACACGTTCGCTGTGTGTTTGTTGTTCATCAGCACTGTTTTCTTGGGATACATACTCATGCAGCAACGCAGTGACTCGAACCTAAGAAACACATATAGATGAACCACATGTGTTTTGCATGTTTTCGCCCACCCCCCGCGCCGATCCTATCAAGGCACCGCTCCTTGAGCCTGTCCACGAACAGCGTCACCAGCAATGCGTTGCACAGCATAGTATCCGAACGTGTATTCTTCTTGTCCGAACTTGATTTCTGTTCCGGATGCCATTGCATGTAGTTTTGAAAGAGACGCAAAAAGGAAGGGATAGAACTTGCACCTTTCAGGAAATGTGCATTGCGATGCCGTGGATGTAAAAAACCAACTAAAGTTGCACTTCACAGCAACGTGTCCTTGTGTCTTTGTGCAGGCAACATCGCGCAAGTAACAGAACCGATTTGGAACAAGACTGATTGCGCACATATGTATTTTATTTACACGGTTGCTTCGACTTTCAGGCGTGAAAAAAGTTCCTGGTTCCGGAAATTCCGAAACCCGAAGCTTTTGCTACACAAATGCTACATGTACTGATGCATCGACCAATCCGGAAACTCGAGAAGATGCCATTCAAACAGTTGATTTGGTACAGGTGCTGCATTCTAAAAACTTCTGCAGACGTGATGCTTATGATGGATTGCGAACGTTTCAAATTTTGGATCGTCATGTTATGGTGCTACTCGGATTTGAGAGCCCTTTAAGCGATCATTGAAATGTATTTTCATGCAAGAAGATGCTTGGACCAACCCGCCAACCCAGTGATTGCACGGGACCAATTTCTTTTTGTATGTTACACCTCGTAGGAACCCGAAGAATCGTGTGTGTTTGTGTGCATTTTGTTGAACCTGTGCCCAGTCCAGGTTTTGCGTGTGCAGTGAAATTTTGTGCCGCACGGACACAATCGGTACGAAGTCGGGCCGGAGTAAAATTGCAGCTACTCCGGCGCCCGGTAGGCCCACGCTTAGTAGGTTTTAACCATTTTAGACGGAGGGCTATCAAGCGTGCAAGTTGGAAGGTTTGACAGCAACGTGCAACATGAGCCTTCGTCACTTTCCATGGTGTTTTGTTTGTCGACCTGTCTCCTGTACTTCATTCATGAGCTTAGTTTGCTGCTGTCGATGCAATCGAAATACCAGGCTTCATTGCTGTCACGACTCTGAGAGCACACCCAGTGGTTGAGAATGGCTAGTGCTAGGGTATAGAAGATCTGGATCTAGACGATTGTAATTCGAGCTCAATGCACTTCCGACGTCTGGTTTGGGAGCCATGCATGCTAAACGACATTCAAGGAGCATATTCTTGCAATGTTGGTTTCCTGTACGCACCACAGAGAACCCAAAGCCGTCGCGATGAACGCAGTCATTCTGCCTAGAATCGTGACTCCCCATGCGGTGCAGGTCCCTTGCAGTGTTAGTTAGTTTCTGCAATGCATGAAGAAGCATCCGACGTGAGCACAGCCTGCCTTGCGTCTGCATTGGACCATTTCACTGACAAAGGCTGGAATGGCTGCTGCAGCAACCTCTGTGCAGGTGCTTTTGCTGTTCTCTGGCAGACGTGATGCTATGGCCTTTCAAGCTCTGTCTTTCACAGTGCCCAATGGCTCAGGTGCGGGGAAAATCGAACGCGATCAATTCGGTTTCTCTGCTGTTCTCGCCTGAGTAGTTGTGGGCATACGCCAGTGTTCATGATGCCCTTCCGGCTTGCTGTCGGATGCTCAGGCGCCAGTACTACAATCGCTTGCCGATTCGCAGGAAGTACAAGCGAGCGGTGATGAAGGGAACAATGGTCATGTGCGAAAAGACTGGCCAGGAGGGGCTGAGCAGAAACTTCATGTTGGTTTGAAGTCATCGTCGATGTTGTTCTTTGTAAGAGTTACGAGTAACTGCTGCAGGTTCGGATTCCTCCGCTGGCCATTTCTGGCTATGATGAGCGGAAGAATCCCTACAAGGGAAGGCCCCAGCCGATTGTGTTCGTAAGCACTTTCGTTTGCAGCAGTTTGACAGCTCCTCCTTTGCTCACATTCACCAGGACGCCATGCTCTTGCTTTATGCGTGTTGATCCTTTAAGGGCGACATGGATGTATGAATCCACGAACAGGTTTGAAGACCTCCGGTCTACACGGATATGGCTGAAGGACTAGTAGGTTTCGCTTTCTACGGAGCTCGAAGCTTCGTGAATGTTTCACAAGCATACATTTGCTGCTCTTAGCAAAATGGCTGCGTGCTCGCTTCGTCGGAAGTTCTGTGAAAGTCGTGATGCTCTGCACTCACTTGCGCAGATGGTGATATCTGTCGCTCGGCCGTCAAAGAGAAGTTCATAGAGCAGGCAGCGGCATTGCCATGTCGCCCGGTTTGGAAGAATTATTCTTTGAGCCTGTCGGAGAAGAGAAGAGATCAAAGTGGAATCAAGTTGGCCCAAACAGAGGTTCCTACATACAGATCGAGACGTTTCAGAATGTGGGGCCGGGTGCAGGCAACTTCGACAAAGGTCCCGGCGGAGACTTCCACAGTGTTCCGGAGGGCTTGGGTGCTTTCAGGCAGATCCAGACGTACCAGCACGTCGGGCCAGGCCTTGGTGACTTTAACAAGGAAGATGTGACTTCCTACTCGGAATGGAAGCTGCGAACGAGGTGCTTGGTGGTCCTGCTGCTTTTCTTGCTCCTCCTCGTGGCCGTGGTGTCATATCTTCTCTTGCAGAAGAAGGGTACCGACATCAGTGGGGTCCCTCATGCTCAGGATTTCCACGGCCACGACATTCACAGCTTGGAAACTGTCTATAATTGCAACGCAGGGTTTGCCGACTGGCAAACCGGCTGGAGTGAATCAAAGAAAGCCTTCTGCTGCAGAAGCATCGGAGTTGCATGCGACCAGGCGGCGTATGACTGTGATGCAGGCTACAACCAGTGGGAGAGCATGTGGTCTTCTGACAAAAAGGAGTACTGCTGTGATCAAACTGATCGCGGCTGCAGCCCGGTGTCCAACGAACCCTATGACTGCCAAGTTGGGCTGGCACACTGGCAATCAGACTGGACAAAGGGAAAGCAGCTTTGGTGTTGCACCACGCACTCACTTGGCTGTCCAGACTACGGCTATAGCTTAAGCTTCAACTGCGACGTAGGCTTTGCAAGATGGGAGACGGACTGGTCCTGGGCAAAGAAGCACTGGTGCTGTGCTCACGAGCAGAAGGGCTGTGAGGTCGAGGTTCCGTTTAATTGCCAGGCAGGTCTCGCAAGTTGGAGGTCAGGCTGGTCTTACTCCAAGAAGAAATGGTGCTGCACTCACGAACACCTAGGCTGTGTATCATCAGAGCCCTTTGACTGCTCGGCCTCTGCAGACTGGCATGCTTGGCCCAAGCCTAAGAAGCACTACTGCTGTGCTTCTCATTCGCTGGGCTGTGAGACGACGACTTCTCCTGCCACGTCTTTGCCTTTCGACTGCTCGGCTGGATTCACTAACTGGCGGCATGGCTGGTCTTATGCAAAGAGACTCTGGTGCTGCCACCACGACCATAGAGGCTGCTCAGAGCCAACAACAGAAAGTTCTACAACTACCGCTCCAGCAACCACTCCAGCAACCACTTCACCCCCACCAACCCTTCCGTTCAATTGTCATGCCGGCAGGGCAAATCTGGATGAAGGATGGTCAGAAAAGAAAAAGAGCTGGTGCTGTACCCACCAGCACCTTGGCTGTCCGGTATCCTTTGACTGCGATGCTGCCCTGGCCAACTTCTATTCTGCATGGTCGGACAGAAAGAAGACTTGGTGCTGTCGCCAGGAAGGCAAAGGCTGCATGGGGCAGCATCAACCGCAACTGCAGCCAAGAGAAGGCTACAGGTGGAAGCACGACGAGGCACTGCATATCTCTATGTTTGGAGTCACGTGTATCATGGACAATCAAGTCTTGAGATCACAAAAACAAAGATGCCCGAGCAGAGACCCAGAAGACAACTCTCATTGAAAGGACCATGTCCGTCGCATCAGGTTTGGGCGTGGGGCAAGGGAGTTGGTTGAGAGAGGAAACGTTCTTTGTTCTGCCACACTGCGTTGTGCCAACCACTGCCATGATGGGCCTGACATGTGGGCTGATGTCTTGGCCGCTGCAATCCGCTGTCGTGGTTGTGTCGAAGTCCTGTGTACTTGGGTGATGAATTTCTGCCATACGTCTCGAGCGAGAAAAACCAAAACGTGTGGTTTTGTTTCTCTGTGTGTGTGTGGGGGAGTGCAATTACATGCGATTCATGTCCATATAAATATAGAGAGAGATATGCGAGAGCGGGAGCAAGGGGACGAACCCCGGCATTGTCATGTTCTGCCATTGGTCGAGCAAGTTTGAACTTGTTATGTGATGATGGCAAGTGCCTCCAAAATGCTGTGCTTGTGCTCTGGCAGGTGCATGGCTACTGGACCTGGGTCCAAGCACCTATGCATGTACATCAGGAGCATCTGCACCAGGAGCACCTGCACCAGGAGCACCTGCACCAAGAGCATGTGCAAGCGGAGCAACACCCTGTCCGCTACAACTGCCATGCCGGGTTCCACAACTTCGTCGGTGCCTGGAAAGCTGATAAGCAGCGCTGGTGCTGTGATCACCAGGGTATTGCATGCACAGGTCCAAATCCGCCGGCTGTGCACCTCCAGTCGGGGAACACCTGGGTTCATGTCAAAGTTGAGGGTGTCTGGACGTGGAGGCAGGTGCCTCGTTCCGAGGGCGTTCCTTTCGTTGTTGATTGCAGCACGGGTCTAGATCGTTCCGCCAGCTGGGTGCCAAAGAGAAAAGCATATTGCTGCACGCATGAGGGTAAGGCATGCAACTAGTCCTAGCACAAGAGCTGCAGCACAAAGGTGAATCTTGTTGATCCGATGAACGTTTCACACTGCCAGGCTTGAGCTAAAAGGCTCCAGTCCTTCAGTTTTCGACTTTGAGACAACGTCGAAACACGCGTCAAAACGCTCTGTTGCACGCCCGTGACATTCCTTCGAGCATGTGAGCACGTGAAACTGCAGCTTCGTCTCGCAAAGAGGGATGTACTTGCCCCTTCAGGGGCGAGGAAGCTGTCTTGATGGCTGCCTATTTTGATGAGCTGGGTGAAACGGCTTCAGAGGCCAGCTCGGATGATTCGATTTTCGATTCTGATACAGAAACCAGTGATGATGAGGACTTCAGTGGAATCCCATTGTTGATGACGGCAGCCAATATCGCAAAGAACATAATCGGTGAAGGGATTCTGAGCCTTCCAAAGGGGCTTGCTGATACCGGAATGGTCTCCGGTGTCCTCATCACCCTTGCCTTCTATGCAGTTATGGTATATACCTTCTGGACCTTAGGGAGAGTTTGTGAGGCAACCAATGAAAAGAGTCATAGTCGAATTGGAAACAAAGTGACGGAAGGTGTGGTGTTCGGAAACGTCATGGCGGCCACGAACTTGCTGAAGACGCTTTTCACATGCACTGCATATGCCTTGGTGATTGGAAGAAATGCAGAAGATATCCTGGCCCGACTAAACTCCAATTCCTGGTTCTGCTCTAAGCGCGGTAGCTGGGTGACCATTCTGCTTTGCATCCTGTTGCCTCTCTGTTTGCTGCGAGACATGGGGAAGCTTGCGTGGACCAGCTTTCTGGGCCTTCTGTGTGAGACCGGTGTGGTATGCTTCATGGTATGGCGACTCCTGGATGGATCCTACCAGGTCGGGGGCGAGTTCTATGGCAGCCAGACGCACGAAACTCGCGTGCACTGGGATGACGGTGGTCCGCAATTTTGGACTGTCAGCCCTGGTACACTTACCCTTATCTCGAGTATGTCGACGGCGTTTCTTGCACACTACAACGCGCCAAAGTTCTACCATCAGCTGCGCAAGAGAAATTCCAGGCGATTTTTTAGGGCCAGTTCCTTGAGCTTCACTTGTGCATTGGTGCTGTTCCTAACGTGCATGCTGGTCGGGTACTTGACCTTCGGCCAGGCCTGTCAGGGCAACATTCTGCACAACTACTCGGAGCGCGATGTTGGAGCTGCCGTGTCTCGGTTCGCCATGCTCCTTGCAGTGACGTTTGGCTTTCCCATTGCCTTCACTGGTCTTCGTGATTCGGCTTTGTCGCTCTTTTCCTGTTCCTCGCGACGAAGAGTTTGGGTGCCACTGACACTCGGGCTTCTGACGTTGATTGGTGCTCTTGGATGGTCTCTGGATGACCTTGGCGCTCTTAACAGCCTGGGAGGCGCATTTCTGGGCTCGCTGATTACACTGATTTTTCCAGGTTTGCTGCTGGCATGGGTCTATTCCTATTCGTCCCATTCTCTGGGACTGCTCTTCTGGAAGGTGGAGGTCACCTTCGTCGGGCCTGTGCTGGTTGCAGTAGGCTCCCTTCTGCTGGTTTTCGGGACTCTGGTCGTTGTGCTGAAGGACTTCTTGCACAAAGATATCTGAATGACGGCCCTGATGCTCGGTGCACGGGTCTCTCTCTGGAGCAGATTCCGGAGAGATCACAGTTTCACATCGAAGGATGATCGCTTGAAGAAGACTTGGCCAACATGCCCATTGCTCCTGTTTCTGCCAGGGCTTTAGAACCTAGGAAACCACATGGCATAATACTGTCCGAAGTCAGGATCGGCTGATGCTTTGGCAAGGTTCCCGTGCCGGACCTCTGCATGCGAATGTCACTTCGCAGTCCCCGACTCGTCGTTGTCGGAGCCAACAGAGATTTAATGACCTGGGAGGTGCCAAAGTATGAAAGTATGTGTGGAATGTGCATGACGACAGCAGCGGTATCAGCAATAACAGCGACAACAGCATCAACGGCAATCTCGCTGCGGATGAGTCTCGTCTGTCCCACCACAGCGCACGTTCCCTTTTCGTTGTTTCGAAGGTTTGATTACATACGGCATACAGGTTAGAGTTACCAAAAGGGACGCGCGCAACAGCGCCACGTATTGCAAGTTTCCGTAACTGCGAGGGCTGTGTGGCAAGATTTGCGATTCCCAGACGCGCGGTGCTCGAGCTTAACAAAAGCTTCGCCACGTGTGCTTTTCACCTATGCGGGCAACTTGGCCAAGTGCAGGCATGGCCACAGGGCGGAGTTCATGAGTGGTTGTTTTGAGGGACTGCAATTTGAGATGAGCGACTGAAGACAGAGTCGAACCTTTTGAAAGCGGTAAGGATTTCGAAAATCGAAAGACCTGCGCTGAGTGAATCTGCGATGCCTGGTCTCTAAGGCCATGATGCTGACCTTGGCTCTGGCGGCGCTAGGGTTCGTGGCCTGTCACGGGGATTTTGAGGAAGGAAGGAAATCATCGCAGCACTATGGCACCCTTTCAGGCAGGCACCTTCCACTGAGCGAAGAGCACGGGCAGGTTTCGAGAGGCGTAGCTCTCCTATAGTAGAGCTGATATCGGAACCTTTGGAACTAAGCATGTGCCAGCACGATGCGGGGGCCTCTTCTTTGTGCACGATGCCTGATGGACCAGTGCCATCCGAGGCCCAAGTACGCGCTGCGAACCTGGCAGTTGTCCGCGTTTTCTCTACGGACGAGGAGGCTTTGATGGATAGCGAAGCTCAGGTTTGGGGCGAGGGGCTGCGGGCAGGGTCGAGGCTGCGAAGACGAGGGTAACAGAGTGCTTCTGGAGAGTGGTTGGAGCGCGCTTGGGCTCTGAAAACAGGTAGGGAAATGCGCAAGCTGGTCTGCTTGACACGTTGGAGAGCCCATGTCTGCGGAGTCGATCGGAGGGATCCCGCATGCCGTCGATGCGACTGAACATTGTACTTTCGCAGGTTTGTGAAATTGCAGGGGGGTGGGTTGCACTTTCGATTCGTCTCATCTGTGTCAGGTGATGCTGCTGAATTCCAGTAGCGACCTCTGGGCTACGTCCAACGCCATGCCATGCGCCGGCAAATCCACCACGAGTGAGATTGATCTCATCCTAGTTTACAGCCGCTTGGCACGCGGTCAATTTCCTCCCTCCAAGGGCCAACACTCCGCCATCGTCAAAAGAAGATCCATATGGCATATGGGCTTGCAATCTCGTTTCGAAAGAAGCAGGAGTGGGCAGGCCTACCCAGGTGAAAACTGCTGTAGATAATGTCAGGAGCGACCTGGAGCCTCTTCAGCAAAGCTACCACCCGCAGAACTTAAGGTAAAGACCTCGCGACCGACGTCATGGCAAGCCAGGCGCGGAAGGGCCCTAAGGCTCTAAGGGCGATCCGGAGGGCATGGGCTCTCTGCAGACTTCGTGTTGAAGCAAACGAAGCTTCAGATCCCATCCCTTCACTGCCTGGAGGCTTCCAATACCCTTCTTTCTCATTCTGATCCAGCGGCATCTAGCATGATAGGTCGTCGCGGAGCTCGAAACAACCTTCATGAACAATGCGTCGGCCTGGGTCCAGTGCTTCAGGCCGCCTAGCAGCAAGAAGATCTGGTGGTTTCTCACCGGGCGCAGTTTACTGCCGCTCGATTTTTGCCACGCTACGCCGGAGTGGAAACTGCGCCATGGAGCGTCTGCAGGCTGCAGGCTTCTGGAGAGCAGATGCCCCGGCTGTGAGGTTGCTTTGACCATTTGCACATCCTCTCATCCAAGCTAGGCTAGGGTATCATCTGGTGTCCACGGGTGGAATCAATAGCCTTGAGAACCAAATCCCACCTTCCATTTTGCTTTGACTTTAAGATCTGTGTCTGAGGAGCATCAAGAACATGTCAGCCAAGCTCAACCCCGAGCAAGATGTGTACGACAGCAACGGGTACACCACGAACAAGCACTGGGTGTCTGGCGCCAGCCCCGGGCATCCCAGGATTGTTGAGTCCACGTGGGCCGACGGAGTCTGAGGTCCCAACACCGTTTTCAAAAGCATTATGGATGCCATGATGACTGGCCCCTACATGGGCATGTACGATTCCTTCTTCCTTATGGACCTGGTGTTTGGGGTGTGAGCAGCGACAGTTTCTCAGTGGCTCTTAGATTTCTGGAAGAAACCGTGCCCAAGTGGCGATCTTCATACTTGTCGGGCTTCTCAGTTCTTCCGGTCTTGGGGCAGCCGCTCTTTCGGGTTCTTTCTCAGCTGGAGTCTTGTGATTGCAACAGCGCGCTTTCAAGAATTCTTTTGTTTTGGCGGGAATCCTGGCAGGAGATGGATGCCGTTCCCATCAAGGCCAACTGGCTCGATCAATTCGAGACGGAGGCAAAGGGCACCTAAAGGGGGGGAGGTTGGGCCTTTTTTGTTCTTTTGCCGTCTTGTGCCTCGCCTCCCCTATTCTGTGTGCCGTGGGAGGCCCTGGAAATGCCGGGAGGCAACATGGCCGTGCGCGGGAGCCAGTACCTAGGCCCGCTGCTGGGTGCCATGCATCCATGCGGTTGAAGTCCGTCCATGGTTGACACGTTCCATAGAATCAGTGGTGCTCCTGTCGCAAGTCACCTGTCGCAGTCACTTTGGCATCCTTCCGTCGTGCATGCTTCTCCTTGAAGTCTTCCGCCTGTTCGCACCTGAAGACCACGCTAAACGAGCCTGCTCGCTTGCTTGCGAGACAGCGTTGACTCGTGTGATTTCCTTGGTGGTTTTGCGATGGCATCCGGCTAACACTGGAAGGGTTGCAGTGGTGGAAAATCCCTGTTCTGACAGGTTGGACATGTTCGGGTGTAAGAGGCGTGTGGACTTCCCTAAAAGGTGATAAGTGGGACCTGTTCAAGCACATGATGCCCGACTACCTGGTCGACCACATCAATGGCAATGCTATCTACAATCTCAAGAACAACTGGACCCAGTGACTTGTCAATGACTGTCATGCCGAGCCTGAAATTGCTTTTCGAAGAGGGATCTCTTCAAGCCTTATGGGTTCTTCTTGACTTGCATTCTGTCAGCGTTGCAAAGCTTGCGAGGCCACTAGGCGACGGCCTGTATTGCCCGGTCATGAGAATCATACGGCTCTGAAGCATGTTCGTTGAATATCATGGAATGTGGCTGCTAGCAACCCGCAATTCTTTGTCGAGGTACCTTGTCAATGCCTTCACCGCACAGGGCACCACGGCCATGTTGGAAGAAATGGCCTTTGATGTGGCTTTCGCACCTCGGCATTTAACTTACTTGACCTATGACTTTAGAAACGTTAACTTCACTCGAGTCGCACTTGGTGTTCTCATGAGCAGTACGAGCAATGACATAGAGAGGGAGACGAATCGAACCACTGCTCCTTGGTGTCGAGAAACGTGCCATTTCCTACTGCTAGTTGTAGTGATGGCCGTAGACGGAGGCCATGATTACCATGGCCGCGGAGTCCGGATCCGATCCTACGCCGCTCAGCCGCAGATGGGAGGTGGCGTGGAGGGGGTTGAGGGTTCGGGAGGGGTTCGGATTTCAGAGCTCGGGGTTTCGGATGTTCTTCACGATGAGGCAGCCTGGCACAGCCGCACGTTCTGAGGACTTCCAACTGATTTAACTGGTATGACGGGGCTTGCGTGGGGGTTCTTAAGGATCCCGACCTGGGCCGACCCGGGGGAAGAGGGACAGTTGTTCTTTAGATATAAACATGTTAAGCGCGAGCTTGTCTGCAAGCCACACGGAGAGAGAGAGTATGAAGGCTTCCGGTTGAAAGGGCCTTCCAAGAGGACTCCTGTTCAACCCAACACTGGCAGCAGCTAGTCGATTCTCTGAGGTTTTCTGCTGCGTGGACAAATGTCATGGGCAGCAACACGACTTACAACCCGACTTCCATGCTCGTGGGCAACTATGTGTCTGGCTCAGAGTTCCAGGCTGTTCTGTCTTGCCTTCTGCGCATTCTGGTCGCTGGTAGGCGAGAGAGGCGAGAGGCGCTTTTCCTCATTTCCCCCGCCATTTTGCCAGCGGGCAGCAGGGGTCCACATCCTTCCAGCCCCTTCTCCAGCTCCTTTTTGTCCTTTACTTGTCTCTGCACTTTGCTTTTCGGGCTTCCTGGTTGGTTTCTCTGAATTTTTGTCGTGTCGCAGTTTCATGCTTAGGCCGCTCGTCAGTTTGTCGCACCGCGTCTCTCTTCTCTGTCTTTCTCTTTCTCCTTTTGCTCTTCGCTCTGTTGCCCTCTCTCTCCGGGTTCCTCTCCTCCCCTTTCTCAGGCCAACACTTTGCTGAACACAAGCTATGAGTTCCCGACCTACATCCGCCACGGCTCGAACAAGAACCTCTTCGAGAACTTGCCGGTCGGGCCCTCTCTTACTTTTCTTAGGTGTCTTTGGTGAGCACAGTACAGGCAGATCGTGATCGTATTGCCTCTAGCTCGAAACGACTGTCCAACATGGAAGGATGACAACGTGACGTTGGTCGTGGCTTGGTTCGACTACCAGGGCCACTTTCTCGAAACGGTGGAGCCCTGAGATTTGGATTGTCCGCAGATCCACGCGGTCCAGTCAACAGTCATGTAGGCTTTGTTGTCAATTTTGGATTTCTCGTTCCTCAATTCTCGAATGGCACAAGGCGGACAGGTCAAACGTCTCGACTGTGAAGCGAGGTGCCCACACATCACCCCTTCAAGAAGATCATGGGCCTCGCTTACTACGAGCAGTCGATGAACTCAAGGGAAATTCCTGCCCCGGATGGCCGCTTAGTTGAGAGGATGGCGTGTTCACTGGGTCTGGTGAGCCCCAAACGAAGAGCTGCAGCTTGAGGTTCCAGGGAGCCCCAGATCCCATGTCTTCATTTCCATTACAGACACCTCCGAGGCAACGTCACACTGACGATGAAGCCGGCCAAAAGTCAGCCTTACTACCACCTCTGCGAGGCTTCTTGTCTGCTTCAAGTTGTAGATTGCGGGTGCCGTAGGGCTGCAATCGGTCAGGTTGTCGTGGGGCACCTTTTGTTGAGGGGGCCCTCGGCAGCTTCCCAAGCCAAGCCGCCGAACCGAGGCTGCCAAGTCGGTGGACACCAAGTGGTTCGTTTGATCCTTACAACCGGGCGAGGCTTTGGGTCAAGCAGTCCTAAACGGTCCTGGGGAACGGTGCATTCAACCGCGAGCTGAATGAGGCACTCACTGACAACTACCACATCGTCAAAGCACCAGTCAGCGTGCTCATGGAGACGAATCCTGGCTCTGCTACAAAACGTTCTAGGCTCTCACCGTCGTTTGAGGAATTGAATACCACGGCTTGTCATTGGAGTTTGCTGTTTCGGATCCTCCGATCTTGTCTACGGCAGACGACCTGGCCATGCCCCCGCATAGTTGATGAAACCCTCCGCAGTGCTGGCATCAATTCGTGCCGTGCTGGTGCATGACATAGAGCCGAAAGTTTCTTGCCCTCCAAGGATGGACAAACCCGTGCTGCCCTACGTCCTGAAGGACTCCAGGCGGGGCCCAGGAATGTGCAGGAAAGTAGAGATTCCCAAAGCCGAAGCCATGCGAGGAAGCTGGCTAAGCTGAGTTGTGGGGAAGCCCGGCAGGTATTGCGGTGAGCGACCCAACTGCAAGGCTTCCATGGAGCAGGCTGGTCACAACCTGATATCTTTTGGGTTCCGGGATTTTGTTTTTTGATTGCATGTTCCGGAAGACTCTGAGGATTGAGATTCGTTGACATGGCAGTCCTCTCAAGCTTTCAGTTGTTTCTGCAACCTCGTCTGTGACACCTGCACTATGTTTGAACTAGGCTCAGGATTACACACATTCTTGTTTCCGGATTTCAGAGAGTTGAGGTGGTGAGGGTTTCCATGATTTTCCTAACCTGGAGGCACCTTGCGAGGCTTTTGCAATACGGTCTGGTTTACACATGACCAGTGAGCTGCTTCAGGCAGAAGATCTTTTCGGTATCGTCTTGAACTATCACCATGACAAGTATGAGGTTCTGTACAAGACTGCCGCTTGGATGCAGTTCGCACTTTTGCAGCAACTCCTCGGAAAACTTCGAGTGTCACACTGCTATGTCATAACCGTGGACACGGTTCTCTTTCGCCTGCTACGAGACCCATGAAGCCACAAACTTGAAAGCCACGCTGATCATAAGGCATGGCTGTCGTGACTCAAGTGAATCGGTACAAACAAGGACCCAGTACCGGTCATAGTCAGTCATCCTCATCATGACGGTGATGCACATGACCATCATGGTTGTCATGACCATCATGACCGTCATGACCATCATGACCTGACCATCATGGCCATCATGACCATCATGAATGATCGTCATGACCATCCATGAATGATCGTCATGACCATCATCATCATCATCAATATCGTCATCATCATCAGCCTCCTCCTCATCATCATCATCATCATCATCATCACCATCATCATGATTACACAATCACCATCACCAGCATCATCATCACTACCATCATGAACGTCACCATCACCATCGTCATGATCACAAGCATCATCATCATCATCATCATCATCTTCCTCATCATCATCATCATTATCATCATCATCAGCATCATTATCATCATCATCAGCATCGTCATCGTCATCGTCATCATCATCATCATCATCATCATCAATATCATAGTCATCATCATCCTCATCATCGCCATCATCATCAGCATTACCATCACTGTCAACATGACCATGACCACCATCATCGTCATCACCATCATGATCGCCATCACCATCACCACCACCACCATCATCATCACCACCACCATCATCATCATCATCATCATCATCAGTATCATCACCATTGTCACCACCACCACCACCACCATCACCACCATCACCATCATCATCACCATCATCACCATCACCACCATCAGCATCATCATCATTTCCATCGTTACCACCACCATCGTCATATATCATATACCATCATCACCATCATCACCATCATTTTCAATACCGTCATCATCATCATCATCATCATCACCACCATCACCGTTCTATCCCTCATAGCCCAAGTGTTTTTCTTTTCGCAAGGCCGATGCCCTTGCCTTTTGCGATGCTTGGGATGTCGCCACGACCGGCAAGGATTGGGGCCGCTCAGTGCGATTTATCACGCCATGTTGTCTTGCATGCATTCTGTTCCGAACCCTCTTGCGTTTAGACTCAGTTTAGACAGTGTGCACGTCACTAGTGTATCCTTCCACGATTTCATTTGCGCTAATATAGTGCATGCGACAGCTGGTTGCGGCTACATCAAGTGTATTGCATCCTGGTATGGTCTAGAAGATTCTAGACGGGCATGCCTTTCGCGATGTCGACGTTGTACCAGAATGTGCCGCTTGATCTCGTTTGTTCTCTATGATGAAACTTGCAGCATTCTATGAAGTCTTCCATGTAGCATACTTCCCGCCATGGAATGTTGTCGAATACTGATTACCGTGTTGTCTTGCCTTGTAGCAACCTGCATTCAGCACTTTGCGCAAATCCACGGCATCTGCGCGTGCTGCTCGCATTTTCTACGCCAATCTTGTTCGTTGTTCCCTGGAAGACGATTCAGGTCCCGGCTCCTTGAGCTCCCCGAAGCTCCAGCGACAGCGACAGCATAGAGTCTGAAATTCTGAAAGCTTGCCCCAAGGCAACTGCAGCCTTGCCTTCGGCCCAACAGCAGCGGCTCGGATGCAAGATGCATGATCGCGACGATGATAACTATGGTGATGGTTGTTGACGACCACTACGGCTGCTGCAACGATTAAAAGGACGACGGTCATGCTGCTCGTGATATGCATTCCAGCTGGCGAGTATGGATATGCATGGATGGGTGCATGTAAGTTATTGATTCTTGATGATGGGCCATGATGCCTATTATGGTTTTCCAGTTGTTGCTCGTCCTCGTTGTCATCGTCATCTTTGTCACTGTCGGGACTGCTGCGAAGTGGTGTTGTGGTTAGTTTTCCTGTGACTGTTGCCGCCTGGGCTTGGCTTTTCTTCGTGCTTGGCGTTGCATGCTTAGGGTTTCGTGCTTTCGACTTGAGGCCGAAGAGGCCAATGCTTGGGGTTTAGGCAGGTTGTGATTGGGATAGTTGGAGCGGTCGGTTGTCAATCCCTACCAGTCGGACTTACGACCCCCCCTTGCGGTAAAGCGGATGGTGCGGGGCGGGCAGGATGGACAAGCCGAATTCACCTTTGGCAGTGCTGCAAGGACGACTACATCGCTTGGAAGATCAGTTCTCCTACATTCAACGTGAGTGACGAGTTCACCCCCAAGGACAAGGCCTGGTCTCCTTTTAGTTGCGGGCCCTACAGGACAGAAATGCACAGAAGAACATGCGCTCACTGTTACAGCCGCTACCACTATCAGCTGCTGCCACGACCGCGGCAACTGCAAATTCCCGTAACTGGAACTACTACAACCGCTGCGACGACAACAGCAGCAACAATCACAATATTGTCACTACCAAGAATACCAGCGCTAGTAGTAGTTGTAGCCGCAGTAGCAGCAGCATCAGCAACAGCATTTCTACCAGTACTGGTACACTACTAGTACTACCAGACTAGCACTACTAGTCCTAGTGCTTGTACTCACGCTAGTACCTTTACTCCTGATGCTACTACTTCACTTCTAACTCCTCCTCCTCCTGCTGCTGCATCTGTATTGCTGCTACTGCTACTACAGCTAGTAATGCTAGTACTGCGATCTACTACTACTACTACTACTACCACCACTACTACTACTACTACTACTACTACTACTACTACTATATCTACAACTACAACAACTACTACAACAACTACTACTACAACCAGTACCACTACCACTACCACTACAACTACTCCCATCCCAACACTCCTCCTATTCCTCCTGCTCCCACTCCTACTCCTCCTCCCCCTACTCCCCCTACTCACCTACTCCTCCTACTCTCCTACTCCCTGCTCCTGCACCTGCAGCTGCACCTACTCCTGCTCCTCCTCCCTCCTCCGGGTCGTCCACTTCTGCCATGCCTTCAATCATGACCACGACGCCGACAGCGACTACTGCTACGACTGCTGCTGATGCTGCTGCTGCCACTTCTTACTCCTTGGAAAGCTAGTGCTACTATGACGGCCACCGCCACCAGGTGGTACCATGATGAAGGTAGTTCTGTCGATGACGATGAGTAGTTAGTTTATCCTCCGCTCTACACGTTTTAGGAGCCTTTACACCCGCCCCGAGCTGTGCAGACGCGTTACGGCTGGAGAGCCTGGACTAGCTTGTGGAATCCGGCCCCGGTCGACGACCGCAACTGCGAGACAACGCTCTACGGCATCAAGGACGTGTCGCGGGCGAAAACAAAAATGTGATCCCTGTTGCTTTTGAACGTGGTTGATGCAAGATTCTTACCGCACTTCACTGAAGGAGTACCTTGAGACGCTCGGCAACATCTCCACGTGTGCTGTCGACTATGCCGCTCGGCTTGGATCGGGGACTGGAGCGGCTCCTCCCAATACCAATCCCGAAGCCCAAAGCTTCCATTCCGAGGTGGAGAACGAGACGGCCTGCGTCGGCGATTCCACGTGCATGTGGAAGTTGGGATCCCGAGAGGTTCAGGCTTTCCGATTCGGTGGCTTAGGCTTTGGCAAGGCGCACTACAGCCAACTGAACATGAAGATTCTTCTGAGTCTGCGGAGAGTGCATTTGTCTGGTTGGTCACACCTTTATGGCGTGCGCATGCTGCAGCCATAGTTACAAGTGTATGCACCGCGTGCATGCGAACATGTCTCGGACGGTCTTAAAGCAAGGTCCTCGGTTAGTGTGCACATAGACGTGATTGAAGCGTGTGGAGGGTGGGATCAGGAGAAGCTTAGCATAGTTCAGGCTTTCCGATTCGGGCTTCCTCTTGTAGGAGATCCTCGCGGCAGTCTGAGTCTGTGGGTGTGTGAGGATTGGCGGAGCAAAGGATGGGACAGGATGGGCGCCATAGCCGCCCCGAGCAGATCAAAGCTTGCTAGGCCCATGTTCCAGTCCGGCGTCTGCATGCTGGATCCCAAGAGTGGCAGCCTCAGAGCTCCTCCGTTTGCTGTTTCCAGCGCTGGGGTCGGTGTCAGCACTGAGGCGAGCATGACACGCAGGGATGTTTCTAGAAGAACATAATGGGTGGTCATGTAGCGGCACCGCTTGTAAGTCAGCTGCTGAGAATCACGACCATGTTGTTTTCGCTACTGTTCCTGCTGCCAGTATACCCGTCCTTACTATCACATATACAAAGAATACAACTGGTGTTGCTGTGATGACCGTTGGGTTTTCGAGTGTCGTGGCATCATGGTTATTCCTGCTTCTTGCCATCATCATTGCTAGCTGCTAGCATCGACCTGGCTTCTAGTCTTTCTCTTACAGTGCCGTGCGTGCAGCGGCCAGGTATTACCACGACGACCACCGCACCCTTGGCTGAAATTGAGGATTTTGCCATAGAACACTTCTGACCCTGTGTCCTGTTCTAGGTGCTCCTTCACCAATGTCGAGGTAGTTTGCTCACTGTGTCTGTCATCTGTCTCTCAAGCGACAAGCTGGTGTCCAGCCTCAGACCTGAAACTCTACAGTCCTCCATCAGACTTGAACCGCTTAAGTTTCTCCATCCCATTCAGTCAGTAGGAGCCGGTGCGGTTGTTGCTCAGCCGCTGCCCCTGCAGCTGCCGCTGCCCCTGCAGCTGCTTCTGCCGCTGCTTCTGCCGCTTGTTCTTTTTTTTGCCACTGCTGCTGCTGTTCAGTGCTGCTGTTCTAGTAAGTGGCTGTATCGAGAGAGTGTTCATATCCTTCGCCGCAGGCGCAGGCACCTACGTTTGAGTAGAAATGATGCCAGAATCAAAAACTTCGTTAAAGATCCGAGCTCAGGTCGAGGCGTGGTCCTGAGGACATCGGTGAATGAGCAGTCCGGGCGGGCTTTCTTGGGCTCTTAAGTGGTTCAGGATGAGGTTTGCTGTCAAGAGTTATGGTGGTTTAGGGTTTGTTACCGGGCTTCTCGTCAATGCCCTTCAACGGTTTAGATATGCTGGTTCAGGCTTCAGGGATTAGGGTATGGGTTCCATCTCAGAGGTTGTTGAGGGCTTCTGTGCATTTGCCTCTGCAGCTACAGCATGCTTTCATCGTCACCACCGTCGCAGTGCCAGCAGTGCGAGCAGCACCTGCAGCACCAGTAAGAGGTCGTCTGTAGTAGTAGTCGTCGTCGTCGAGTTGGTCGTCGTGGTGGCGGTGGTGGTGGTAGTCGTTTTGGTGGTAGTAGTATTGTTAGTCAAACTAGTAGTAGGCTCTATGTGACAGCTCTATTCGGGAAATGTACTCACGGCCCATGTTGTACAGCAGAGTAAAGCAATGTGCAACGTAATGTTAATGCAGTCGCAGCATAAAATCCAGCAAGCATGGCATCACCATCTACGCAGTCCCACCTCATGTCGTGGCCCGTGAACTCACGGATGTACTTGCCCGGCTAGAAGAGTCGCAGCAAGCCCATACGAATGCTAGAAGATTGCTAAGGGAGCCGTCTTCAATGTCATCGAAGTCACGATGCCGATGACCGTCGACAATGCGTCCGAAATCATTAACGACGCCGGGGCCCCAGTCGTGTGGTCCATGCAGGCGACATGTGTGGCCAAGAAAGCCTTTACTCTGACTCCAAGCTCATACTATCCAGAGATTTTGCCAGCGAGGTTACAGTGACCACAGCCATGCGGTGCGTGGCCCAGTTTAGCTCTAACGGCTGTGGGGCTGTGAATGACCATGCTTCTTGTATTGCTTTGCAGAGGAGGTGTTCGGATCACTTCGATCCACAAAGGGGTTGTAAGTTTATGTCAGCTTAGGGTTGTGGTTTACATCGCATTACCCACGATGTTACAAAAGGAAGATTTCAAGGCTCTCCCCTCCGGACAGTTTCAGCAGACCTCATCGGAGCGAAGGAGGAAGCCTGTTGCAAACACTTCAACCTTTTCTTCCTACTTGCGATTTGAACTATTCGGCACCCGGCAACAGCCCCGACATTCTCCCCACAGCAAGATGAAGTCGACTCACAGCGCTGCAGCGGAACATCAATAACGGAAAGCTGGAATGAGGTGGTTAGAAGTATGGGCTGTTGTTCAAAACAGGCTCGTGCATCATGCATCAGAGTGCCCCACACCGGAACCCTCAGCCTTTGCAACGCCTTGCTCTCAGGGCAGGCTTTGCAACGATGGTTGGTGTTCCTGTGGAGCCTCGGTTGCAAGTCGCATGTCCCTTATTTCTTGGACCTCGGTTTCGCCAGTGCCAGAGGACGCAAAAGACACCGGCTGCAAATACAGACCACCGATATCGCATCAGGTTTCCAGTCCCTCAAAGACCATAGGGAAGATAGAAACAGAGCTAATCGTCATTAATTGTCTGTCCGCGGCGAACTCGACGACATTCGGACATGTGCAACGTTTTGTATAGTTTTCTGGCAGAATCAGAATATCAATCGGCCGTTGAGACATTTGACATAGCTGTGTAGTTGTGCAAGCGCCATGGTGTTACCATCAAGCTGTGTGGTGACACAAGATAGTCACTTCCTCCAGCATTTGCACCGAACGAACCTGCGCCTGCCACCAACTTTGTAGTTCAGCATGGCCGGCCTTGACTCTTGCTGGCGCCTTCAATCGGGACCCCAAAGTTCAGAGCATGCCCGCACATGGCACGCTGCCCTGACGGCACGCTGCCCTGACGGCCTTCCTGAGCTGAGGCAGATGTCTCCCTGTCGTTCAATCAATTGCGTCGCCTCGCTGAATCCCGGATGTTGGCGGTCCAGCTCATCGCGCCGGAGCCTGAGGTCACAACATGTGGTGAACACTACTACTGTGCATGTTGTACTACAGATACTGCAGAACATGCGCATGCAGCAGCAAGATCCACGACAATCGTGGCAGGAACAATCGCAACCACGAGACACAGCATAAACAGCCAGCACTGCGGTAAGAGTGGGAAAAGGACAAAGCATGAAGTAAGAGTAGCAGATTCACACTCAATCATGTCATTTGCAGTGCTAGTAGCCATCAGTAGGACTAGTACAGCAGTCGGATCAAACTAATCGTGCAGCGACTGGTGACGGTTCATTGTCGCAACGCCTTCAGTGCCACATGCAGTCGTATCACCAATAGCATCGGTAGTAGTAGCATGTGCGCACTTGTTAATGCTGACGACCTGAATAGAAGTGCTGTGCAGTGTTGAGTGTAGCTGTTTTGGATATGTTCCACAATATACAACCCGGGTGTAATCTAGGCTTTTGGTTGCAGCAGTAATGGAACTAGCAGTAGCAGCAATTGCCATGGCAATACAACCAACAGATCCAACCAAAACAACGATGAAACATTCGGGCTGGAGTCACGTGGCCAATGACTGGCAGGGGACGAGCAAGAGTCGCACTTACTCAGGAACAGCGATAGGGACATGCTTAAGCTGCATCTCACCGATGGCAATACCGACGGCACCAAGCGTAGCAAAATCCTCAGTCAGGTAGTTTGATGTCACCACAAGCATGAGCAACATGAGTAGCATGGAACGTCGATGCTGTCACGTAGGATAGTGCTCATGACTGTTTGTGCTGTCACAGCTACGTCGTCCACGACCATTAGCTTTTTGAGCCATCTTGCCATCTGTCGTCGTTTTCCCTGAGCTCTGCACGTTCTTTCAGCCTTTAGATTTTCGCCCATCTCATGCCTCTCCTTGCCCAGGATCTTCGAAGTGAAGATGGCCAGCCCAGAAGCAGCTGCACAGACACTCGGCCGCAAGGAGATGCTTGAGCAGGTTCGGCTTTGATGTTGACCTGCAGTTCAGGGTCTCGGATGTCGTGACCTGATGTTCACGGTGGTGCAGACCCCTTACAGTTGCTCGATACAGTCGAGAGCCAGGTTTGTGGCAAGAGTCAGGTGTGGGGTGTCTGGTGCCGAAACAGTTACCACAAATCCTTTCGCCCACTGTCTGCTCGTGCACCTTTGTGCAAGGACGATCCCCAACCGAGGGTCCAGCAAGCGGCCCATGACACGTCTTGCTTGGACTGCAGGAAGCAAGTCGCCATCGAGACGCTCTCTGTGGCTGACACAAACCGGGCGGGGTCCTCAGGGTCCTGAGGGTCTCCGATTCAGATCCGGGGTGCCCTAAAAAGGGCCCAGAATGCCGATGTCATTGCGGCTGAGGGCCTCAGAATGTATCGGATCTTTCACGGTCAGGTTGCCGAAGAAAGCTGCTCCGGGCTGTCTCGCGAAGACACGGGTAGCGGCGTAGCGTCCCACACGGAGGGCCTAGGCCTACAGGGCCTATAGGCCTAGGCTACAACGTACATGAGAGCTCACATTGAGACTACCTCAGCGTTTTTCCCTTTGACTGCCATGGGACCGAGTCCTTAGATCCGAGGAGGAGGCCCTGTGCAAGGACCGTTTGCCCTCCGTGTTCTACAAGTAGGGTGTTCGCAAGAGTCGTCAAAAAGGCTTAACTTGACACCACCCCCAATCAAAACGCCCGAAGGGTAGGCAGCAAACATGGACCTCAACCACACAAAAAGCTGCGGGAATCGTCCAGGCCATCAGCAACGCCGTCATGGACTGGGGGTTCAGGTTTTGGTGCTTTGTGCATTGCTTGTCCCCAGCATCATAGCGAAAGGCCATACCTATTCTAGGGTTCGGGACTTCGTTTTGGGGCCAACGAGATGTGAAAATGTGCTGTGCCATGATAGTGGAAGTAGAATGAAGAAGGGTCAAGGAATGTTTCAAGTAGGAGGACAACAAGAAGGAGGAGGCCCTTCAACTGAAAGGCATCTGCTTCATGAGCACGTGAGTTCCGTTGGGGCAACGCAGTCCTCATGAGAGTGCAGGTTTGCAAAGCTGTCACCAGTCGAAACATCGACTCGTCGTTGTCGCCACCGCCATCGTAGTCGCCGCCGGCAGTGTTTGCGGTGGCGCATGAAATCGAAAGGAGCTGGAAACTTTCAGGTCCGCGCCCTTTAGCCAGAACGCATTCTGAGTCTCAGGCTCCTCCAACATCGAGTAGGTGTGCAGACGGCTGAAATGGAGGCTTTAAGAGCAATATGGTGTTCAATTCGTGAAGCTTTCGCCGCATTTCAGCAGCTTTCCCGTCCCGACGCCTCGCAGCTTACACGGTCCACACACCCCAGCCCTTCAATAGAGTTCTGCTGCAGGATGCAGGATTCTCAGGGAGCCTGGAGGCCTTCCGTTGCATCGGCATGGGGTAACCAGACACCTTCCAGCCAGAATATCTGTGTAGGCTCTGCTAACCTGAGCGAGTTTCTCAGAGTTTTGTGTTTTTTAAAGTATACTCCGATACTGCGTTTGTCACGCAGTGCTCAGAATCATTTTGCTTTCTGGGTGTGGTGGATGACACACACATGCACATGCACACAGAGACACACTCGGGCCCTTGTCAATGAATACCCAAAAATGAAAGAATCAGCATTCAGCACACGATAAAGTGTGCATGTTCGTAATCCATGTCTCGAACTACCACGCTGCATAGGCGTCCGATCCACATGAGCTGCACCTCTAGACTACCGGTAGCCAGGCCCCCTTAAGCCCGAAGCTGTCAAGCCCGGCACCCTCAGCGGGCAGTGTGACGCACAGGTCACCGGCAAGTCCTCCTCACTCGTCCCGGCCGGGGGCACCCAGTGCAGGTTTTGCCCAGGGCTTGGAGTATCGCACGGCGCAACCCCGTGGCGTTAAGGTGACCACCACCACCACCACCACCACGACCGCGCTGCTCTCAGCGGGAAGGAGGGCTCAAGGCCAAGGCGGAGCAAGGTACGGAACTTGAGCGACCGTCCGGCTGAGACCACGACTACCACCACCACCTCGACGACGACAACGACCACGGCAGCCTTCCCAGTGTGCAAATCCTCGGGCCGTCACATGTTGTGATGATCACGAAGCGATGGCGATAGTCGCGTTAATGGTGCTGGTATGTGCTGGTGGTATCTGGTGGTTATAATGATGATGGTGGTCATGGCGATGGTCATGGTGCTCGGATGGGAGTTGTTGTGGTATGTTGTGGTAAAGTTTCTGAATAGGAAGCTGATGCTGAAAACGAGATCTTGTTGCTGCCAGCTGAGACTTGTCAGTAGCGATGGTGATGATACTGGCGACGACAATATGATACGGAAGATGGCGATGTAGAAGAAGCTGAGGAGGATGAAGATGATAAGATGAGACGATGGTGTTGTCGTTTTTGGTGGTGGTGGCGGTGCCGGTGCGGCGGCGGCGGTGGTGGCGGCGGCGCCGTTGCTGCAGTTCCTGCTGGTGTTGATGATGATGATGATGATGATGATGATGGGTCACGGTTACGAGTGCAGCAATGTTTGTCGTGATGCTGATGACGAGCGTGATCGTGACGATGTCGATGATGCTGATCATTATGACCACGGTGGAGTCGGTGGTGGGTTGGAACGATAGCATGATGATCAAAGCTCCTTCCTCTCTGAGGTGGACCTTGGTGGAGGCCGGTGTTGCAGCTGTGTTTGATGTGGCTGCATGCGTAATGATGTTGCTCGTGCGGTTGAGGTAATGGTTCTGATTATGACCTCTGTCGTTGCTGCAGTGGGTATCCTGCCGTGGATCCTGCTGGTTATGTTGCTCATATTTGGTGCTGCCTCGTTGTAGGTTTGCTTGCCTACCGTTCTTTCACCGTATTTGTTCAGTTCTGTATTAACTCACCTGTTTGAGAACATGGAAAGAGAATACCGCAGCACATACGGTCTCATTTCTGGAGTGCTTCGACTAGGTACCCCTCTAGCCGACGACGCAGTTCTATTATCGAACTCCGCACATCTGCTTCACTTAGTTCAGAGAGA